AATATTTTATAATTCTCTGACAGAATTTTTCCACTTGTTTTCCTTATTTCCATGTCATTAATCTTAATTTTACTTTTCTTGTATCACATTTTATCGACATATTTTTCAAAAATCTTATTCCATTGTGTGGACTGTTTAACTAAGGTAATCTTTATATTTTATAATTTTAAAATTTAAATACAAAGTTTATTTTTTAGTACTGGGAATTGAACTCAAGGCCTTTGCACTGAACTATCCACAGCCCTTTCTAAATTTTTTATTTTGAGACAGAGTTCACTAAGTTTCCCAGGCTGGGCTCAAACTTACGATCCTCCAGCCTCAACCTCCTATAGTGCTGGCATTATAAGCTGTGCTACCACACTTGCCTTAAAGTAAGTTTTTAATTGTGGTTAAAAACACATAAAATTTACTGTCTTACCCATTTTTAAGTATACACTTAACTAGTGATAAGTATATTCATATTGTACAACAGATCTCTAGAACTTTTTCATTTTGCTAAACTGAAACTCTTTACTCATATTAAACAACAACTTCCAGTTCCCATCCCCCTAAACCCTGGCAACCACCATTCTAATTTTTATTTCTATGAATTAAACTACTTAGATACCTCAGAGAAGTAGAATGTATTTTACAGTTCTCAAAAATGAGTAAGATGCCATGTATAATTAAGCTGTTATTGCAATTTTGCATAGGTTCTGCCTGTGAGTAAAAACAGCCAAATGATTACCTTTACTTTTCAAAATGGTTGTGTTGCTACTCTTCGGACAAGTGGGACAGAACCAAAGATAAAGTATTATGCAGAGATGTGTGCACCACCTGACCAGAGGTAAGAGTAGATTTTTAGACATATGTATAAAAGCTTTGTTTAGATATAATTCACATAAGATATAGTTCACTCACTTGAAATGTACAATTCATTGGTTTTCTGTGTACTCAAATATTGTACAACCATTAATACAATCAATTTTTAACCTTTTCATAGTCCCCAAAAGAAGCCCATACCCATTAGAAATCATTTCCCTTTCCTTCCTTCAAAGTACTAAGTAACCACCAATATACCATCTTTCTCTATAGATTAGCTTATTCTAGACATTTCCTATAAATAAATCATATGATATGTAGCCCTTTGTGATTGGCATCTTTTACTTAGCATAATGTTTTCTGTGTTCATTTCTTCTTTATTCCTTTTTTAAAATTCTGTATTTAATGTCTTAAAATATTCCATTGCATGGATATAACATCCTTTTAATATATTTATCAGTTAGTGGATATTCAGGTAATTTCCATTTTTTGGTTATTTCATTACGAACCTTTGTGAACAAGTATTTATGTGTGGACATATATGTTTTTATTTTTCAGATATACATATATACCTAGGAGTAGAATTGCTGGGTCATGTAATGACTCATATGATAAAATGTTAAACTTTTTCGGGTCCTTCCAGATTATTTCCAAAGAAGCTGCTTCATTTGGAAATTGAATTTCTATTCTTGAAAAGACTCACTGAGCTTTAACTATTATATGATGAACATAAAGAAATGAACAACAGCTGGGCTGGAGATGTAGCTCAGGGATAGAGCACTTACCTAGCATTCCTGAAATTCTGGGTTTGATCCTCAGCACTGAAAGAAATGATTAGGAGAGCAGGTCATGAGGGCAGGAAGCAAGCGCAGATCTCCTCAGTATTGAGGACCCAATTCTGGGCTTCTCACAGCTAAGAACATGCCTTATTACTGAGCTTTGTCGCCAACCCTGGATGATTCTTTAAAGGCACCTCAAGTGAAGAAGCAAACCTGCAGACCACTCTGCCATTCCCATTTACTTGCAAATAGTCCTCTTAAACTCAAGAATGAACCACCCCTTGCCCACACTCCTAGGGCAGAGAAGCTGAGCCAGTCCCAGCACCCAGAAGGCAGCTCCCCCACCGCCATCCCATGCTCGTAGGGCAAAGAAGGTGAGCCGCACAGGTGCCAGAAGTACCCCCACACACACCTTGGAAATGAGAAGACACATAAACAAGTCTCAAAAACAGACTTCTGGATCACCTACAGCA